GCTGGAAGATACCTTGGTTTATAAATCAGTTAAGAAACATGATAGTTTTCTGATAACCCTTCTCATGAGATACAACAACTTGGTAAAACCAATAAGACAACTAGATTTGAATCATTAATCACCTTACTTGGATAGAATTCATAATTATTAATTTGTTTATTTTTATTTTTTTACATTGTTACAGAACTTAGTTTTGGGCTTAAATCTAAAAAAATGGCCAAAATGAAATTAATCTTGACATTATTCTTTGGCACTACAATCGGATGTTATTATGAGAAGATTTCAACCCGTGCATCAATTTTTAAAGCTGATAGTTTAGTCTGCATTAGTATAACAGGATATCAAAATTTAACGCACCATGCTTGCTGCTAAAAGCGGATGCCCGTTGTCTTGGAATGACAGACCGTTCTTATCAACCTTCCTTGGAAAATAAACATCTTTTTGATTTGACGTATAGTACGGTTTGACTGTTCTGCTTGGATGCAGACAAGTGTATCCAGAATCCGTACATCTTTCTCCTGGTGACAGATGCAAGCCTAGGAAGAATGTTGTCTAAATATTTATGCAGATGCACTGATGTGTCACTGGTAGAAAAAGGAAAATCTCTGTTTCACAATAATTAGCGTTCTCATTTAGCATTTTCATGGCGGAGCCGAGCTGTTTGCGTTATTGATGGCTGCCTCTAAGTCAGCTCCTGCTCTCTGATGTCCCTCTGATTCTAAATGAAACTCCCATCTGAACAAAACTAGGTAGCATGGAGACACGAGGTACTCTGGGCAGCAATGCTTTCTTCACAGAGCAGAATATTGATGCGGGCACTTGGTTTGTCAGATGGATATAAATAAAAATAAGGCATCTCTCCTGGAATAATCCTTTCCCCCTTTTTTAATGCCAAGTATTTGCAAGATGCGAACGGTACTTCGTTCAGCTGTTGCCAGAAGCCTCTCTGCCCTTGGTGCTTGGGGGTGGGTGGGTGAAAAGGTATTATAATGTGAACAGAAGTAGTCTCGAGGCCTACAGCTGGCTAATAACAGAGTTGCATTGAGCGCAAGTGAGACCCACAGCTGTGACTTTTGCCACGAGGCTCAGACTAGACAGCAGCAGACAGGATCGGCTGAGCCAGTCAGCCAGCGAGCTTTAGGTCTTTATTGGCCAGATGGTGTGAATTTAGACACTTTTGTTATGCAATGCCAGGGAGGAGTTGAGGAGAAGAAAACAAAACAAAGGCCACCATGCTGGGGGCTTATTTCAGTTTGAAATTAGAGACAGATTTTTTTTTTTTTAAGTTGAAAGCTGAATTTTAAAACCTTTTTTTGGAAGGGGAAGAGAAAAGATGTAAAACTTTCTTTGAGCAACGGAGATTTCTGGGACATCCTGATTCTTCACATTATACTTTGTGTAGTCCTGGTCATTTGTATAATAGCTCGCTGTTAAAACACAATATTAGACTGTGCAAAAAAAACCACAAGGAATTTATTAATATTTATTTATTTATTTGATTTGATTTGATTTGATTTGTCAATCGCTTACAAGATAATAGGTATAAGTATAAACATGAGTAAGAATACAGAAAATAGGTATGATTAAATGGGGACAATAGGACAGGGATGGGAGGCATGATGGTGCACTTATTTTAATAAATAATATTTATTATTTATAATAAAAATATTTGTTTTAATAAAGCAAAAGGCTGACATGAGGTTAATAATCCAGATAGAGATTGGTCTAGTGAAGGTGTCCATTAAATCTTCATCTGGAATCTGGGTCACCTTCTCCAAGCTTGCAACTTGCAGCAGCTAAGATTAGAAATGAAGAAAAGAGAAACTGTTTTGTATTGGCTGGATTTATATATTCACAAACATATGGATTTGTATCAGCCATGATTTACTAACTACGCCTGAACAGACTAGAGTGATGTAATACCTAGCCACAATTTATGTTTTCCAAAGAACAGATCACACCTTCAAGGTAGCAGTGGTTTGCTTAGCCATGCTTCATAATGGGCCAGTCATCACAACACAACACAACAAACCTAAGATAAGCAAACTAGATTATGCCTTAGCTCAATGCGGGCAGCCTGTCTGAAGCTTATAAAGATGTATGAGTTCATTGCTAATTCATTGGTAAAAGTAGCTGGCTAAGGGATTCCAGAATTTCATGATGGGTTTTTTGCAATCTTTCCTGCAATACCAAGGATTGAACCCTGGCATGCAAAGCATAGTTTATGTCCTGATGAAAGAAGACACCATGTACCACAAAGCCCAGACACAAATCATACGAGGCTCACAACTCTTTGAGAAGATGGGCAGTCAAAAATGTAAATAAATAAATAAGCTTTCCATGCAATATGGCCGAGCCATGCCAATGCAAGGCTCGAACCTGGCAAGGATTAAGAAAGAAAACTAATATAACCCTCATCTATACTCACAATTGAAAGCAAATGTATGTGTCCCAGAATCATGTTGGATTCAATCTGGGTCGGTCACCAGGACAAGAGGTTTTGTCTTCTGAGCTTTCAGACTTGTGCTGGAGCCGATTCTCAGGAAAACTTCTCTCAGGCTAGAGACAAGATTGTTGGATGAGCAGGCACAAAAACAGCCAGGAAGGTGATTGAAGCCTGGGAAACAGGCCCTTCGTCAGTCAACAGGAGATGTGGATTTACCACCAGCCTATTGAGTTCTTAGAAGGCAAATGCTGGACAGCAGAAAGGAAGGACAGCCATCAACACATGTTGATCAACATCTAAAAGTCACTCACAACAGACGCTATAAATACCACACACAGAACAGCACACACTCTGCTAGAGGGAAGTTCCCTGAAGATGGGCTCCAGCACAAGTCTGAAAGCTCAGAAGACAAAAACCTCTGGTCTTGAGTCCCACCCAGATTGGATTCTCATCTATACTCTTTCCTGATAGAAGAAAAGTTTCATTGAATAAACCCAACCCATGGAAAGCATTTTATTTTATTTTTATTTTATTTTATATTATTTTATTTTTTATTTTATTTTATTACCAATTTTTTCCCAACTGCCCATCTTCCTCACACAGTTGTAAGCCTGGTATGATCTGTGTCTGGGCTTCGTGATACTCTTATAGTACGGCGGGTCAAATTTTTCAACTTTCAATTTCCAAACATTAGGGGTGCTCAAAAGTTGTGCCTTGGGGATTGTAAAGATATTTTGGTTACTTTCATATAATTTAGATGCACTTGGTAAGAAGCTACATCAATATGATAACTTTTTAACCTTTCGTTTGCTTCCTTTGGGACCTAAACTATGCTTTGCATGGTAACGTTTCAATCCCCAGCAATGCAGGGTTTGAGTACCCAGCCTTTGTGATTTTGTAAGCCATGGTTTTTAATTTAGTCTACCCTGTTCAAGTTGGCTTTCATAATCTAGAGCCATAAGATGGTGGAATAGGCTTAGGTTGACCATCACTCATTATGTCCAAGCAGAAGGTTGAACCGTCCCATAGGCCATCTGGTGAACATTGTTCCCATTATAATATTGAGTACTGTAAATTATGGTAATTATTTATACATGCACATATTTAATGATAGTTGGAATCCCTAACCATTTCTGATTGTTAGGTCCATTTGGAATATAGCAAACCTGTTTTGACTCCTTTAACAAGTTTTTCATTGCTTCATGATAGATGAGACCAGGAAACCAGAGATATGAATGTTAATGCCACTTTTACTGGAAGGTTACAGTAAAATAAATTTACAAGTCTAAATATGTTTCCCCACCACCTATATCTTTATGATAACTGAGGAAGGTCAAGTCTGAGGTGTTTCTTAAATTACTTTTCTGCCCTAGATTCAGATTTATTTTATCTGACTGTTGTCTTGGTTGTGTCTCTTCCTTCTGTTTCTCATGGTTATTCCTATTGCCAGTTACATTTCTAGAAGGATTGCCCATTTATATAAAAGAGCTGATATACGAGGTGTAACCAATCACCTGCCCTCAATTTCCCAAAATGTTATACGTTTTGGGAATGACCCTCTCAAGTTACTGTTGACTGTCCCAGCTTGTCCTGTTTCTGGTCATGTCAATTAATGAGTTGCAATGATTATCCTTTAAATTTCTAAGAAGGGTTAGTAGGAATTCTAAGGATTCCGAGTTATTCTTCTTTCTTTAAAAAAAATAATAATTAAAAATTCAGCTGTGGTAGGAGTTGACATGCGCTAAGTGAGGTATCTGTATTCTCAGGCTTAGAGGTTGTATTCAGTCAATACATTAAGTTGGGTAACTTTAACTTTTTTTTAAAGCCTCACTGTATTACACAAATCCAACTAGCGGTAATTAATTTATAATTTAATGTATGGTCCAAATTCAGAATATATAGAAGCACATGAAAATATAATTATCTGGCATTTATTCATGTATTTAATGTCTAATTTCTTGGAGTTTAGTATGTAAATGCCTAGGTTAAATTCTACTCCTTCAGCAATAATATCAGTTTTGCTGGAGATTGGCATCTTCTCTGTTATTCTTTAGCACAGGGGTATTAAACACAAGGCCCCTGGGCTAGATCCAACCAGCGATGTGGTCAGATCTGGCTGTGGAGCCGTCCTGGAAAGTGTAAGGGGCCAACCTGCGTAGCTTTGGCCTGGTTTACCCAATGCAAAGAGGAAACATGCCAGCAGTTTGGGGAGTGGCGTCAAGCTGGCTATGCCCACTCAGTTGGCCATGCCCACCCAGTCGGCCACATCCACCTGGCCCCTGAAATTGAGTTTGACACCCCTGGTTTAGCACCACCACTGTGCATGTGTAGGAAGCAGTGTTGAAGTTGCTCTTTAGCAGAAGCCTAGTATCTGTGACATTCCCCAGTTATTGTGGTTTGCGCACTTTTATCAGTTTTTAAAAAAATCATTAGCATGAACCACCCAATGCCTTTAAATTAAGGTACGTGAGTATAAAACCCCCCAGAAACAATTATGTAGCACCATATATTATAATGACTGAATTCTTTTCCTTTTGTGCTATTTCCTCGCCAGTCGTTGCTGTGAAAAGAAGAGCTGTGGAAATCGTAACGAGACTCCCTCAGACCCCGTGATCATTGATAGGTAGGAGATACAACTTCAATTCTTTTTTAAAGAAAGCCATCAAAATGTCCTACTTGTTGTATTCCTCCCAGCTGGACAAATTAAACCATCTTGATATTGTATGTCAAATATTGTTAATGCCAGTGCAATGCCATATTTTTGCAAAGTATTCTCAAAATGTCTGGACTTTCTTTAGAGGAATGTCTGCATATTATTGCTGAGGTTGCTGTTGGTCTTGTTGTTACATAAGATTCCCCAGTTGCCTGTTTAAGCTTGCCAAAATATCCATTTCATGAAAGTATCACAAATGTTCTCCATTAAATGAAAGATGGTATCCAGAGGAAATTGTCTATCAGAATAGTCCTGCTATTTCATATGTGCTGTATCGTTGAATAATGAAGTTGCAGTCATGTTCTTGTGGAAAACTTGTTAGTCAAGTTTAAAATCCTCAATATCTAGCTATAATAGCTTTTGCATAAATTATTGCATATTCACGTTTGTTGATACTCGAAATCAGACTTTTTTGCACTGGGAAAATGCAGTACTAAGATAAAAACAGAGAATGGTTTTTCATGTTTTGCTCTTACTTGAGGCATGGTAGGTAAGAGAAATTTGAAACTATTGAAGCCCCAAATTGTGTGTGCATGGTTTTAGAAACCTACCACAGGTTAAAGAATGAAATGGTGTAGCACAAGCAGAATAAATGCATATGAACTGTTGGTGTTTGTAATTCTCTTTTCAAAAGTTTCATAGAAAATGGTGTACACTTGGAGGAGATGTTTAGAGACAAATATTCTATAAATGATTTGGAGAAAGTTTCCTCTGGAATTTCATCCCTGATTAAAAACAGCATACAAAAGAAAACAACTGCCCAATACCATAGTTTTGTATAAATCATGCATTTGTTTTCCAGAGGGCAGGAAAGTGTGTCATCAGCTGGAAAATCGATGGAGAGCCTCAGAAACTCAATCTAAACTGAGATTTGATTTCTTTCTAAATTTATGTGTTCATTTGCAAGCTTCTTTCCTTCTATTTTCATACTTGTTTGAAACCCGCCCTGAAAAGTAGTTTGCACATATCATCTAGCTTGTGTTTGCCATTCACAGTTTTTCAAACAATTACCCAATGTATTCTATTTGTAGACTTGTTCATAACTATCAACTTGGCTTGTCTGAAATATTCATTGTCATAATATTGTGGGAGAAATTTAGATTGCCTAAAATTGTCAAATCGTGTGATATTAAACGAAAAGTCCTCTTCAGCTCACAGTTTGGGCCAGATGTATTAAAATCACATATAACTTCTGGATTATGAGCCTTGGAGGGTGCTTTTAGATAACCCTAAATTTATTTATTTATTCATGAAATTTATATGGCCATCCATCTTGTGAAAAAGTGGCTCTGGATGGCCTAAATAAGATTATAAAACAACCTATTTTTTTTAATTGAAAGGTTAAGAGAGGACAGTGGATTTTAACAATAACGGAGTCTCACTATTTCTTTATAAATAATGAAAGATCATCACTGTGATGGAAAAAAGCAATCAAGACTTGCCAGCTAATTATCATCTTATCAACTTCTTAAGCATAATAAGTCAGCTTTATGCCAACCACTTACATAATAAATTGTCCAATTGGGTCAGTTCAGGGTATATTTGGCAAGTAAATAGGCAGGTTTTAGAGCTGGGTACCCTTAGACCACATCCTTTTGTCAGACCACAATATTTATGTGAGCCAGGTTCTGTATGACGTATCACATTCATCGACTTCAGGGCTACACTTGCCCTCATTTCCAGAATAAAGTTATGGGTAAATGCATGCATGCTACAAAATATAGTTAATCCTGTTAATGCTCAGACTCCATGGGAGCTTCAGAATAAAAGTTTGTTGCAGCACGGAAAGCAGCTATATTAAAGAAATTTCAAATTAAAGAAGAGTAAGACAGGAATGCATTTAGCCTCCCACATTTTTCCATTTGCAGATAACCCCTCTTGTAGCCAAAAATAAATAATTTGGAGCATCACCCCCGACTCTAAAGTAGCTAATAAACACATTGTAATCTTATTGCATACAGATAATGTAATGCTTCAATCATAAGCAGCGGCTGGAGAATCCTAGCCACCTTTTTTCCCCTCAAGAAAGCACTTGAGATTATATTAAAATGAAGTTCTTAATAAAGATCTTAGCAAAGTGACCTAAAATACAGGACTGGGGGGGGGGGGGGGGCAGGGGAGATCAGGCAATGCCATAAAGCATGACTTTTTCCAGGTGCCTTCAAGCACAAAGCCACCAACATTTTGTACAGTGGTACCTCTGTACACATCATTCATTAGTTCTAGTAGGTGTCATGCCCCTGTCGGAATTTGATTTTGAGGGAGAGGCCGAGCAGCTGACAGGGAGTGGGAGTGTGGCTCCATTGGCTGTGGAAGAAATTGGGGAAGGGCAAAGTCTGGCTGGGCAGAGCAGGGGGAGGTAGACCAAGGGAGAGAGAATTCAGAGGAAGATCCAGGCTCACCTGATCTTCATCCTAGGACATGCAAGGAAGAATGGAGAAGGGAGCAATGTGAGTTGCATGGCTTACAGGGGAGGAAAGGGCCCTGATTCCCTTCATTAGCTGAAGCTGGGAATACAGTGTTTAAAAAGGGATGTTGCGCACACAGCAAACTGTTGAGAGCAAATCGTGAATTATTGTCAAGGCTTATCTAAGTTCCTGGCATCTTCTCAACTGTGTGTAGTTTGCTGGTCTTTCAAGTCTGCAATTCCTTCTCCTGCCCTGTGAAGTTAATTGCTGCAGCATGGTTTGTGTGGATTTTTATTTACAGTTTGTATGTACTTTGTTTTTGGACTGAATTTCCTTCACTTAAAGACTATTTTTGGGAGAGTTTGTTCTCCAGCCGAAGGTAACCTGGACATTGGGGGCAAAGTTGGAGGTACTAAAGGGACTGTTCTTACTTATGTGACTTTGCTGCCTTTGTGCCATGCTCTGAGTCATCACAGTAGGTGTGACAACTACTAAAAAGGACGAGTCCCAAGCAAACGATGTGACTTACCACATGACTTTTTGTTTCAGCTGGGAAGAACTTTTTGTCTGTCCCTTTTCCTATGTTAGTGACTTTTCCAGCATGGCCAACCTCCTGTCTGCCCTCTGTGGCCATCTCCCTCCTTTTGAGGAGACCTTCCCAGCATGGCCGATTCCTGTCCATTCTCCACAGCCATCCTCCTCTTCCTATCACAGTGCATAGAATACTAAACTAACACCAAGTATTGGGACAATGTTTTTGTGTCAAAATGCGCTGAGTACCAAATTTGATGGGGTTTTGAAGCAGTCAAGTACTGAGGTACCACTGTAACTAAAAATGCATTTCTATTTTGTTCTATTATTATTTTCCACTCTATTTCATATTTTCTCCTCTCCTCTCCTCTCCTCTCCTCTCCTCTCCTCTCCTCTCCTCTCCTCATATTGCAGCAGAATAATCTTTCCACTTCACCACAGGGACATACACAGTATTCCAGGAGTGCTAAAGTAACATCTGACTAAGGCATGTATATAACTTCTGAGGATGGGCTATAATCAAATCCTCACAGACTTACAATGTCAACTGGGGACCAGAATTTCCATTACTAACAAGACGGTTGTTATGTGAGTGATGCCTGATTTTATGACCTTTTTTGGCATAGTTGTTAAGCAAATCACTGTCATTGTTAAATGAATCAGGCGGTCATTAAGCAAATCCCCCATTAATTTTGGGGGGTGTTGATCACAAATGTTGATCCTATGATCCTGGGATTCTGCAATCATTGTAAATACCTGCTGGTTGCCAACTGGCCAAATTTTGACCACATGACTGTGGAGAAGCTGCCACAGTTCTAAGTGTGAGGATCGCTTGTAAGTTCCTTTTTTCAGTGTTGTTGTAACCTCTACACAAATATTGCAAGGTGAGGATTACCTGTTACCCCATACAAAAGCAATATACTTGGAAGTCTAATTGGGTCAATCTACCCAACTTCAGATTGTGTTCCTGAATGGTGATGTGATTCCCCTTATTTTATGCTGCAAGACACTTAAAGCAAACAACTCTCTCTGAATTCCAAGGAGCACTAACATTAGCACTTTTCAATATCCTCCTAACAGCTGTTCTCAAGGGCAAATATTAAAAAAACCCTTTACGAGCTAAGATTGTGCCCTTGTGAAGAAGGAACCATTCAATTGCTAGTTCATTCCTGTGATATTTGTTTTTCTATAAGGACATAAGTGTCCACTTTATGACTTCCTATCTGGCAAGACACTCAAAGAATTCAGATTTATTTTATGTACACTTTCTATGATGAGATGAGTATAATAATTCTGTTCCATTGAATGTGGCTAAATTCTGTTATAGTATCCATAAGGCTGTGTGTCCTTTTATTGCCTCAATGATCTAGTTATAATTTTATATTAGCATTTTATTTTATTTGATATAGAAACTAATTATTTTATTTTAATTATTTTTGAATCTTGTAGAATTCTAGTCAGTGATTGTAATAACACCTACTTCTAATTATTTCTAAGAATTTAGGAATTCAGTATTCATTTGGAATATTTTGTATTAGTGAATCAATGCAAAGAGACTTTAAATTATTAACTATTTCTTATGATCTTAAGAGGAGATTGACTGAATGAAAGCCATTTCATGTCTATAAAATGCACTAGAGAATATTTTTAAAAGGCGGTTTATCAAAATCATTATGTTGGAAATGTAACTAGTGGATTCTTGTCCATATAATGTTGGCTGGTTCTATTAAGTGTTCTGGGTTGGATGGAAATCCATAAGATTGTTGCTTTGGTTTTACAATTAAAGGATATGGATATACTTCTGAATCTGGAATTTTTCACTATATAGAGACCTATGGATTTTTTAAATGCAAGATAGCATAAAAATGATGGAAAATTGTAGCCCTGGATCATAGATAAAAGTTTGCTTTCTGGTTTTGGCTAATGTAAAGATGATAATTAATATTGTATAGTTTGGTCAAGGTTTAATGA